AGTGGGATTTCGAACTGCGTCGCCCCCGCCAACACTTTGTGCGAAATCCTGCACTGGGATTTCGAACTGCGTCTCCCCCGCCACCACTTTGTGCGAAGCCCTTCAGTGGGATTTCGAACCGCGCCCCCTCGGCCAACACTTTGTGCAAAACCCTGCATCCCCAGGCCGAACGTTTTTTCCTCTTGGACTACAACTATGAGAACATCAGCGGATCCAATTGGATCCCTTTTCGGGTGTGGGAGAGTTTCGTGGATCCTATTTCTGTGTTGCGCGGATCCAATTTCCTGCGTGTGAAAAAAATCGATGGGTCCATTTATTTTCCCGGGAATAAATATAGAATAATAATTAACATCCGGGACCCAGGGGAAATGGGATCCGCGGAGCACCGCAAGCGAAGCATCATGTTATCCACGGAGCTGTGGATCTGCAGACCAATGCTATGATTCTCAGGAGGATGGGGGTCTTCCTAGGATGAAGAGGGGAAGGATGAGGGAAGAGGCAAGAGGAGGTGGGAGGAGAACAGAGGGGATCGGCGCGTCGTTTCCGACATGTGGGGCTCAAGAGGAACATCTTTCGGCCTGCGGAAGTGGGATTTCGAACTGCGTCTCCCCCGCCAACACTTTGTGCGAAATCCTTCACTGGGATTTCGAACTGCGTCTCCCCCGCCACCACTTTGTGCGAAGCCCTTCAGTGGGATTTCGAACCGCGCCCCCTCGGCCAACACGTTGTGCGAAACCCTGCAGTGGGATTTCGAACTGCGTCGCCCCCGCCAACACGTTGTGCGAAATCCTTCACTGGGATTTCGAACTGCGTCTCCCCCGCCAAAACTTTGTGCGAAACCTTTGATTTCGAACTGCGTCCCCTCCGCCAGCACTTTGTGCGAAACCCTGCATCCCCAGGCCGAACGTTTTTCCCTCTTGGACTACAAATATGAAAACATCAGCGGATCCAATTGGATCCCTTTTCGGGTGTGGGAGAGTTTCGTGGATCCTATTTCTGTGTTGCGCGGATCCAAGTTCCTGCGTGTGAAAAAACGATGGGTCCATTTATTTTCCCGGGAATAAATATAGAATAATAATTGACATCGGGGACCCAGGGGAAATGGGATCCGCGGAGCACCGCAAGCGAAGCATCATGTTATCCACGGAGCTGTGGATCTGCAGACCAATGCTATGATTCTCAGGAGGATGGGGGTCTTCCCAGGATGAAGAGGGGAAGGATGAGGGAAGAGGCAAGAGGAGGTGGGAGGAGAACAGAGGGGATCGGCGCGTCGCTTCCGACATGTGGGGCGCAAGAGGAACATCTTTCGGTATGCGGAAATATGTTGAGCACGAGCAGGAGGAAAGAAAAGAGGAGAACGAGGAGGAGGAGGAGGAAGAGGAAGAGGAACAGGATGAACAATAGTCATTATCATACGAAATGCAGGACGAGTGAGGACTCACCCGAGTGCTCGCTTGCTCGTTAGCATGCTCGAGCGAGCGAGCGGGCACCGTGCAGTGAATGTCCCGACCGCCCGAACCGACCCGCCTGGCTTGCTCGCTCGCTCGGCCAAGCGAGCGAGCGAGCGAGATGACCGACGCCCTCCCTCCCTCGCTCGGTCACTCGAGCGAACGAGAGGACCGACCCCCTCCTCCCGTCCCTCCTCGCTCGCTCACTCGAGCGAGCGAGCGAGCACCATGCATGTGGTGTCCCGCCTGCCTGGCCCGACCCGCCCCACTTACTCGCACGCTCGCTAGCTTGCTCGAGCGAGCGAGCGGGCACCGTGCGTTTTGTGCCCCGACCGCCCGAACCGACGCGCCCAGCTTGCTCGCTCGCTAGAGCCAGCGTGCGAGCGAACTAGCGAGCGAGAGGACTGACTCCCTCCTCTTCGCTCGAGCGAGCGAGAGAACTGACCCCCTCCTTCCCTCGCTCGTTCGCTCGCTCGCTTGCCCGAGTGAGCGAGCACCATGCATTCAGGGTCCCGCCCGCCCGACCCGACCCGCCCCACTCGCTCGCTCGCTCGCTTGCTTGCTCGCGCGAGCCAGCGTGCAAGCACCACGAATTTTATACCCCGACAGAGCCGACCCTCCCGGCTCGCTCGCTCGCTCGTTTGCTCGAGCGAGCGAGCGAGCGAGCGGGAGGAGCGACCCCTTCCTTCCCTCGCTCGCTTGGTCGTCTTCCCCCCATGCTCGTTCGCCCCCTCGCTCGCTTGCTCGCTCGTTCGTCCGCTATCCCCCCTCCAAGGCTCGCTCGCTCGCTCGCCTCCCCTCCAAGCTCCCTCGCCCTCTCGCTCGCTCGCTCCAACGAGCGAGCGGGCGAGCGAGAGCCTTGGCGTACTTCTTCTCCTCCCTCGCTGTTCTCTTGAAGTCCTCGTCTCCCCTCCCGCCTCATTCCTCTCGCCCCCTTCTTCATCATTTGTCTCTCGCCTCCTCCTCCTTCTCCTCCTCCTCCGGGGAGGCAAGGCGGGAAGGGGAGGGGAGGAGGAGGAGAAGGAGGAGGAGTAGGAGGATGAGGAGGAGGA